GAAAGATGTGACCTTGAGGAAGAGAGGAGAAAATGAAAGCATAGAGGATGAGTACAGAATGAGAGAGTGATGGGGTAAGGATGGCTGAGAGCAGACATACAGATTTAGGGAAGATGTAGTGAGTTGAATAAAGGCTGAGTCAGTCTTCATTAGGGCCTGAGCACCAATGGTGCGAGGACCCTCTTGGAATTGCTCTGTTTATTTTTCTTCTTCTTCTTCTCCAAAGTGAATCGCATTTTTGAGGGCCATAAACAATGCTCGAAAACTTGCAAAACTTTGCACACACATCAGAACTGGCGAAAATTTACATCTGATATGGGTTTCAGAATTGGGCATGTCAAAATGGCTTGATAGCGCTATAAAATTTCAACGAAACAACCTTCACACTACATTTCACACTATATGTAATGTCCCAATACCTACAAAAAAAGTCTCTTGGAGCGAAGTCTTAAACACAACTGGAAGTCAGCCATTTTGAATTTCCTCTACAATTTTTGTGCAGTTTTTGTAATTTTCAGACCTCATACTTTAACAAATTCTGGTGAGTGTAATCATAAGGTTACATCATTTTACATACATCATCCTTTGCCATGCTAAATTGCGAAGATCTTGAGTTTTCGTTGAAGGGCTTGTCCCTGGTAGCCTGACAAATGTTTTGCCGTGAAACAGGAAGTTGCTGTAACTCAGGCAAACAATATCCAGTCTGCCCCAAACTTCACACTTTCGATAGGAGTTCTGTCCTGAACACGTCCATGCCCATATTCAGTTATAGTCATAGCGCCACCTGCTGGCAACAGGAAGTGACATGTTTAACACTGTTATGGACTCCTAGAAACATATTAAAAAGCATCAGTAAGTGTTAAATAGGCTAGCAACATACTAGAAACATTTTAAAACATGCTAGCAACACTTAGCTAAGTGCTAAAGCATGCTATTAATGCAATTAAACAGGAAGTTTCAACTCAGGCATGCAGTGTCCAATCTGCCCCAAACTCAACCAAACATAACATGCAACATGCTAGAAACATGGTAAAGCATGCTAGCAACACTTAGCTAATTTGCTAAAGCATTCTATTAATACAATGAAACAGGATGTTGCTGTAACTCGGGCATGCAATGTCCTGAACACATCTAAATGCCAATATTCAGTTATAGTCATAGCGCCACCTACTGTCAACAGGAAGTGACAGTACTATTAGCTGGAAGTCATGCACTATTAGCAACACACTAAAATAAGCCATTGAGCGCTAAACATGCTAGAAATATGCTCAAACATGCTAGCAACACTTACTAAGTGCTAAAGCATGCTATCAATGCCTTAAAACAGGAAGTTGTTGTAACTCATGCATACATTGTCCAATCTGCCCCAAATTTCACATATATGATAAGAGTCCTGGCCTGAAGACATCTAAAGGCTAATATCCAGTTATAATCATAGCACCACCTGTTGGCAACAGGATATGTAATGTTTAACACTAAAACATGCAGTGTCCAATCTAAGTCCAATTTACATTAACTCAAACATACCATGTTTGATCTGCACCAAACTTTATATGTTTGATAAAAGTCCTGCCCTGAAGACATCTAAATGCTAATATTCAGTTATAATCATAGCACCACCTGTTGGCAACAGGATATGTAATGTTTTACACTAAAACATGCAGTGTCCAATCTAAGTCCAATTTAGACTAACTCAAACATACCATGTTTGATCTGCACCAAACTTTATATGTTTGATAAAAGTCCTGCCCTGAAGACATCTAAATGGCAATATTCAGTTATAGTCATAGCACCACCAGCTGGCAGCAGGAAGTTTGGCACATATAAATGACTTTGACATATTCCTTCTATATTTACCACTTTAAATGCATGTTGCCCCACCGTTCACTGTTTTCTTAAGGCCACCGGGGTGGAGGTGGTTCCGGGTGCGAGGGCCCTTTCAACGCTGCTTGCAGCTTTAATTGTTATTTATGTTTGTATATGATACTACCATAGATGACTTTCTGATGTACAGTATTAAGGACATCAAAATGCTACATTTTTAGGATCATGATCTTGAAATAGCAGTTTTATTTGAAAATTTCTTTGAGTATACAAGAAATAGTGCGACCTGTGTCAACAATGACAACTAGGAGGTAAATTTGCTTCAGTCAATTGAGAGTGAGAGCGTTTTCTGAACACTAACACTTCAAGGACTGATCCTTCAACTCATAAAAAATATGGAAAACTAGTATACAAAACCACGTGACATTAGGTTAAACTCTCAGATAAATCTAGAAATATTCCAAACATTGTATCCTGTTTCACAGGGGGAAAAAAATGAATGGTGAATTTAGAGACTACAGGTATCATATATTATTCAATGGAACACAATGTTCTTTATTGGTGAGCAACATTCACAAGGATTGCATAACTCAGAAACAATGCATTCACAAGCAAAAGATCAAACTTAAGCTGATATAAACTTACAGTATGACTCATTTCTAAGCTACCAATGGAGATGCAAAATTTATAAGTGTTACAAATGCTGAGAATAAAAGTGTTAAATAAAAAGATAACTGTATCGATAGCTATATTAGCTCCACACTAACGCACAATAATGTTCTGTTTATGTTATTTAATTTTTTTCAGTCTGCAGCTTTAAATTCTCTGGCTTTATAACGTTTGGTAAATTCTGATTGCCTGTCAATGTTTTTATCATTCAACAGCTCGAAAGATTGTTTGAAAGTGATTCCAATGAAAATGTTCCTCTGTCATTATCATTATAGTTGTGGTATGACTTTCCTATTCTCATAGAATTACAATTATTATTGATACATGGTGCATTATTGACCTAAATGCCCCTAGAAATGGTACCTAAGTTAACCCAAAAAACATCTGTCATCATTTACTCACCTTCGTGTCATTCCAAACCTGCATGATTTGCTTTTCTCTGTGGAACATAAAAGAAGATTTTGAACAACATTGAGGTCCAAACAACATCAGACCCCAGTGACTTTCATTGTTTGGACCAAAAAAAACAAACAAAAAAAAAAAAAGAAATTTTTCAAAATACCAACTTTTGTGTTCTGCAGTCATACATGTTTGAAATTACATGATGGTGAGAAAATTATGACAGAATTTTCTATCCCTTTAAGGGTACATATTAGTAGCCTGACTTACTTAGCTTCATACAGTTTAGAATACTAAGGTGTACTTTTAAGGGTACTGCCCCAGTGACCCATGTCCCATGTTTTTTTTTTGTTTTGTTTTTTTGTGGCAGCTTAAAGTGCTTGCTTTGGTGTGTTTCTGTGTGGTGGCTATGTGGGCAGTGCATATAAATCGGCCATTATAGCGGCAAAATATGAGAGAGCCAAGCTGTCTTAACACAGGAAACCACAGGCAGAGAGAGTCTCGGTGACTAAGCAGAGGACCAGAGCAGGTGTGAAGGTCTCGGTGCAGACTACAGACTGGCTATATTCGCGTGCATGGGTTTATGGGTTTGACCGTTTGATGCATGTGTAAATGGTGCAGATGCAGTTCTCGGCCATTCATCAGACCTATTTTTTCTCACTTCTGAGCAGGGAGTAATGAGGTTAGTCTTTTTTATTTTCGTAGAAGATTCTCATCCATTTTATAGCAGCACAGAGTGAAATCAGCCCAACCAAATGCTTTAACTTACTCTTTATCTGTATGAGCCTCTTGCAAACTACCACAGTGAAAGGTTATGTTGAGGGTGAGGAAGAGATGAGAGATAAGAGTGAGTTTCAGTTGCTTTTTTCTTTCAGAGGAGAGATTTGATTGAGATATTTTGCTCAACACTTCCTTGGTCCATCAGCTAGACCAGTACTAGCCAACAAAATCTAGAGTGTTTGGAAATTCATGCTGGTCTAAGATCTTTCCAGCAGGGTAGAACAGAGAAACCTGTCTCCTCCACAAAGATGCAGTGAGTCAGCCATGGATAATATAATATGATGATACACACACACACTCACACTCACACTCACACTCACATACAGACAGGCTGTCAAATGGAATGGCCATTACCCAGCCCAAAAAAAACGTGCAGCTGTGAGCACAGGATGTGACAGATACATAGCAAAGTGAATCCAACAGAGCCATTTTCTACAATTTCTGTCAAAAGACGAGAGACCCAAAAGAAAGAGCTTTTCTCTGATACAAGCTGGTGTGTTTATTTACTACTTTGTGTGTTTTTGTGTCTTATGTGTCAGTCTGGCTGGAAACACTGCGGTGTTAAGAGCTTTGTGTGAGCTTGGAACTGTGAGTCTCGTTTTCAACAGAAGTGAAAACAGCAGGTTTATGACTGTATGTTAACCACAGTCTGTAATGCAGAAATTTATCTGTCACACTACAATTAGCCATGACTTTCTTCTTCTTTGTTCTGTTGCACTCGACTTAGCAACTACAGCTCTATCTCATTTTATTAAAGCTGGTGTTTAACACTGACATGTACCTCTGATTGTATAGTTTGTTTCATGGGGAACTGAAAGTTACTGTATTCCACTGTTACTGCATGATAAATGCAGGTGCGTGACTTTTGCGCTCAGCTAATTCAAACTTTTTTCATAGCAAACATAAAGCATATTTTGCATGTGCTGCTTGTGCACGGCTTCCTGTTTATTTTTTCTCTAGGGTTATCGTACATTGCAATGACTAATAAAAGAAGCACAACAGAGCAGTGTGTTTATTGTAAGCCAGTAAGCAAGTCTTCTGCCCCATGTTGTATGTTTGAGTTGATTATTTTTCAGTTTTCTATTTCTATTTCAGTAGTGTTTAGGCATTTCAGAAGCTTCAATGGACAGTGCCATAAAGGGATAGTTCACCTAAAAGTGGTTATTCTCTCGTCATTTACTTATCGTCATGTCATTCCACACCTGACATTTTTAAACAGAAAAAAAGTGAAGACTCATTTGTAATGGTCTATCGCTGGCATCAAAATTATTTTTATATTTTATATATTTCAGGCCATTTTTACATCTCAGAGTTTGTTTTCTTCACAGAGGAGGAAAGGAGAGTCCGGGCCAACGATAGAGAGTACAATGAGAAGTTCCAGTATGCTGTAAGTCACACATATAACGTCATACATCATAAATTTACTTATAAATTAAGTGTACAGTTTTCTTCTGCCTCTCCTTCACCTCTCCCCATCATCTCTTTCACTGTCCACAGAGCAACTGCATCATGACCTCAAAGTACAACATCATTACTTTCCTTCCAGTCAACTTGTTTGAGCAGTTCCAGGAAGTTGCCAATACCTACTTCCTGTTTCTCCTCATACTGCAGGTATTTACTCCGAATGAATTCTTACTTCAGATGATTATTACAAGTGTAGAGAAAAAAACAAGTTATTTTGTAAACGTCAAATCATGGCTGTGACCATGACAATATTCATCCTGGCCTAAAGGTTGCAGTTTGCGAGAACATGCATGCCACAATCATTTTGACAGATTGTTTGACCGTGTTCACATTAATTACTAAGACTAGTTGGTGCATTAGTATGTTATACAAATGGCTTTAAAAATGTGTGTAATCGTGTGTATGTTTTTGTCTCAGTTGATTCCACAGATTTCCTCATTATCCTGGTTCACTACCATTGTGCCTTTAGTGCTGGTGCTGAGCATCACTGCAGTCAAAGATGCCACCGATGACTATGTGAGTCTCACACGCACACATTCTGTAATTTACTGTAACTGCCAAACTCCTCTACACACATAAATATGGTTATACTTATACCAGTGACCTATCACACCACAACTGCCACACGAAAAAACAGTCAGACACACACATGTCACACACATCTCTGTTCATCTCACAGTTTCGTCACAAGAGTGACAACCAGGTGAATAACCGTCAGTCTCAGGTCCTCATCGGTGGCATGTGAGTCTCATATTAAAATACACACTTCCTTTTACATTGTTTGCAAGAAAACATCTGCTGTTTACAAGAAATATAAATGTGTCTGAGCTGTTGCTTGTAAGATAGTGAATGTTCATGACATAAAAGCATATATATATATATTTAAAATGAATATGTAATATACATTTTAATTGTAATTTGTAAATTAATATTACATTTATTTATAAAAAAAATAATATACACTATACACTTTAGAGCACTTTTTAATCATCGTATAGCAATTTTCCAACAATCACAAGGCATTAATAAGTATCCTATATATATATATTTTTTTTTTTCACTTTCTCAGTCTTCAGAAGGAGAAATGGATGAATGTCAGAGTGGGTGACATCATCAAACTGGAGAACAATCAGTTTGTGGCAGTGAGTTTTCCTCTGTAGTCCTTCATGACATTAATGAATGAATTAAACGTGGTTTAATAAAATAAAAAGACACTTTACTAGCTCAGCAGTCACAGACATTACTTGCAGTAATTCACGGTCATGTACGCACCAATCTCTGATGCATTTGCTCTCGAATACTGCTCTGTGAAATTGATCCAGTAGCCAAGGTCTTATTCGCTGATTATGCCTCTGGTTACTCTGTCTCTCAAGGATCAACAGCAGCTTAGGTGTCTCTAGTCTGTATACCAGTGTTATTTTAATATTATTTAGATACTATTATAGTTATTAATATTTTGAAAAGCTTTTCTTTTTGTACTTTCATATTTAATTTTAATCTTAGTTACATTTTTTGTAATTTTGCTGTGCTTTTATAATTTTTATTCATTTTTGTCTTTTAAAATATTACTATTTAAATTTATTTTTATTTCAGTTTTGGTTTTATTTATTTTATTTTCAGTTAGTAATTTTAGTGCTTCAACTTAAACTAAACAAAACTTCGTTTTTCACCCTTAATATTTTGTTTTATTTCAGCTTTATTTTAATGAAAAATGTTTTAATAGTTTTAGTTAATAGTAACTGCTGTGTACTGTATATGTGTTACAGGCTGACCTGCTCCTGTTGTCCAGCAGTGAACCACATGGCCTCTGTTACATTGAAACTGCAGAACTGGATGGGTATGCCTGTGTTTATTTCCTGAATTTGCTGTTTAACATGATTTAGTGATTCCAGTGCAGCTCAATACAATGTCGTTATTTTTCTGCCACAGCGAAACGAACATGAAGGTTCGTCAGTCTCTGTCTGTTACCTCAGAGCTGGGAGATCCTAATAACCTGGCCCAGTTTGATGGTATGTGATTTTGAACGCGCTCCAGTTAGATGTGAAAGTTAGCCAAAGTGGAAATGAGAAAGTGCATTAGTAAGAAAAAGAGACAGCTGACCAATCTTGTGAACTGATAAATGAGAGAATATGTTTGTGTACAGTGTGTTTCAGATTTGCAGAAATGTATGGAACAAAAATAGAAAGGCAATAAAAGGAATTGCGTATTTTCAGTGAGGGCATTCTAGTATGAATTGCACTTACTGGCAATCACTGTTTATTTGCATATTTTAGTACAGATTCACTAAAGGTATTATGCAAAGTAGGTTACAGCACAAACTCGTCCAAAAAAAAAAAAAACTGTGCTAAATACAATAAAATGTGTAATTGAATAAATGAAATGTATAATTAAATAAAATTGTAAATAAAAATTTTGACATTTCTAAAAAAAAAACATTACATAATTTAAGTATGCATGATAGAGTTGCTAATGTTTTAACATGGCAGAAGTCTCCAAACTCATCCTTTCTAATCATCCTACTGCTTGTCCGCTTGATCCTATTCCATCTCATCTCCTTCAAGTAATTTCTCCTGCCGTTGTATCTGCACTCACTCACATCGTTAACACATCCCTTCACACACTGGTGTTTTTCCCTCAACATTTAAACAGGCTTGTATAACCCCACTTCTTAAGAAACCCACTCTTAACCCAACTCTTTTAGAGAACTACAGACCGGTTT